AAGTCGAACATAGCCAAATGAAATATATATATATATATATATATATATATATATATATAAATACACACATACATAAAATATATATATATAATGAATTAGTATGTCCGGCATATATATATAAGAAATTGCTGGGATAGAGAGTTGAAAAACCCTTATACGGACTCTAAAAATTTTTCATCCGCCAATTAGCATCTAACGAATTTATTACATTTATATATACACCGATAATGACAGGCAGCTGTAATACCATGGGGAAAACTACTGAGATCTGTACCCGTCTGGGCGTCCGCAGTAGCGACTATGGGCAATCAATGGGGCGACGCGACACTCGCTCTTGGCATGACGAAATATCTGAAGCTCATATATGGTTTCTCTACAGCTAACGTAAGTTGGCTAGAATTGCGTGATTATTATTATCTTAACATTTTGTTGATTGCTAAAAAAGTACGAAGCTAAAATATGAAAAAATATAAGGCGGCAAAAAAGGAGAAGAGATACAGATTTTGTTATTATTATGTAATTATTATATGACGGTATAAGTCGGAGGTTTTGAGTTTCATAACCGATCAATATTGCGGAACAGCTGCAAGCGCAATAACGGGTCTCGCTTGGTTACTAACAATAAGTTGTGATCCAATTCAGGACTCGGTGTTGACCACGTTACCTCACATCGGTCACTTCATGGCTGCTCTGACCTGCGGTCTTCTGGTAGATCACGTCCGCGAGTCTAAAATAGTATCCACAACTACGGCGAGAAAGTTGGTCGTCTACACAGGTGCGTTATGTATATCTCTATAAATGGTATTAGTATATCTGCGAAATGCGCGTATAAGAATTATTAAGTTAATTCTTAATTCTTCGATAATCAAGTTAATTAATACACAAAGCGATAATATTTTCCTTCCTCGTTCTTAGCGCTTAATTATTGAATGAGAGCATCCTAATCTAAATTTAATATCAAATGATAAAAAAGAAATAATATATTTTACTCCAACACATATTTCTTTCCGGCTTTATATGCGTGGCTTAATTTTCTTAATAATATTAAATAAAAATGCGATCAGCCCACTTCATCCCCGCGGCTCTCCTTTTCGTCGCCGGTTACGCCGGATGTCAGGCTCTGGGCGCAGCCTGGTTGGGGATAGCAGCCCTTCTCGTTTCCGGCACCGCACCGGCCGGTGCACTCGCGGCTATAGCCGATCTTGCACCTGCGGAATCGCCGGCGTGCGCCGCGGCCGCGTGCGCTCTCTGCTCTACATTAGGTGCCGCGGGACTGCTGGCCGCCAACTACTTCGTCACCCAGGCTCTTCATGGCTCCGTAAGTCATATTATTACACCGGACATGACACGCACACTATTCGTCCGCCTGCGTAAATGTAACGCGTTAAATAGTTTCGTCGTTTGCGAACGCTATAGGAAGTCGGTTGCGTAAGAAGAATTTAGCGATGAATCGTTTCTTGTACTTTCTAAATCTTGGTTTAAATCTAAGACGTTTTGTTTCTCTTTTTTTCTCGTTAAATTCTTAATAATTTATTATTTTTAAATATAAAAAACGATTAGCACATATATAATTCTGAAATAAAAAAGAATCTGGATTTATATAAATCTAACTCTTCGCAGAAAGATTTCTTTCAACTGTATTATATACACAAATCTTTGAAAATGCATGATGTATATCCCTCAAGTGAGAGTTGAAAGCTGAGATCTCGCATCGCAATATTGAGAAGAAATTTAGATTTTTAATTTTGCCAGTCGCGATTTCACTTTGCCTTTGCAATCCGTCATCTTATTTAAGTTCGACGCAAATGACACTGATTGCGATGAGAATTGCGGCGTCGCCTGTTTCAGATCGCTGGCTCTTGGCGATTGGTGTTCGGCGTCGCATCCGTCGTCTTGTTAACGACAGCTGCGGTTTTTCTTGCGCTCGGCAAAGGCGTTCCGCAACCGTGGATCCCATCGGTGGCGAGACCGCGGAGTCACGATGTAATCTACGAGCAGGACGCCCTCGAGCTCGATCACGAAGACGTGGGCGTGCAGACCGAGCCTTACGGGCCCTACACGCTGGAAGATGACGTCGAGAGCCTGAAGAACGTGCCTCGCTCCTCGTCTATTCATTCTAAGATCTCGGTGGCCTCTAATTGAATTATGATTGCCTAAGTGCAAATTCTCTGTGCCATTTTTATATGCCCCATCTTATCCCAAAGATATCGCTCTATCGCTTCGTATTTTTTTTTTTTCACAGAGAAAACTGTACAATAACTATATCACGAACATACGCGTGATTAACGCGATGAATGTATATAACACTTTAAGAGTAAGAATTATATATTTATACGATTAAGAGAAATTGTTCTCGAAGAATAATATAATAGAAAAGAGATCTACCGAAAATCTAGATATCTGTTTTTTGTCAATGTACAATCTGTAAGCCGATCTATACTTCTTACAAATAATAATTTTTTTATTACATATCATCGCTGATTTAGCGAAACATCGTTTTGAGAGCATTGACTGCTCTAGAGATAAAATCATTGCAAAACGATGCCATGAATAATAATGAATAAATTCGCCGACTCGTAGAAAGTCGATTAGAACATCACGGTGGGCTGGAAATTCGACGAGATCGCAAGTATCAAGTAAGTGTTGTTTTTGTCTCAGATTACTCGCTTTCGACTATTGTTGTAGCAGCCTCGCTTCATCAGAATGCATTGCCGCGATTTTCTCCAGTTACTTCCTTACTCTCGTTGCATACAAATGTATGCTTTACGCGCATTCTGTTCTGTGAGACAATGTGTGCCCTCCACGACGACGGCTTTCTATCTCTGGAGAAAGATCGAGAGAAAAGCCGAGGGATGCGACCGGCGCTCTAATTAGATAATTTTGCTGCCGGTTTGTCCTTATCGCGCGTCCTGATCCTATCGCGAAACCGCGCCTCTACGTCACTGTATTTAGCGGCATGCACGGAATACCGGAAGACGTATATAAGATCACTGTCCGTTTCAACGACTGTCCCCGTGTTCTAATGACGACGTCAGCCTTTCACATGCACGCGTGCATATCCGGCGCATGCGGAAAAATCAGAACGCTATTTAAGTAACTGCGGAAAATGACCTGCCATTCACCGTGAATTCAGATATATACTTTGCACGCTACTTTTTACACGTTTCTTTTACTTGTTTTGCGCGAAACTCGTTTAATCTACGTTCTCGAACGTGTACTGTAAATATAATATATAATATTGACTTTATGATTATTCGTATATGTTTGATATTTTATTTATTAATAACTAGAAGGCATATATATATTTTTTTTTATTGTTTTTAAGAAAATTTTCTAGAATAAACTTGAAATAAGCTTATCTGAATTTTTTCCTGTTTTAAAATATGTCGATACGAAAAAATTTTACTCGCATTCGTTAATAATTCGTATACGCGCGATAATCAAAAATGATTACCGAGTAATTCCTTCAATTCATTTTTCGAAGAATTAATAAATCGCGTGGTATTAATAAAGCTCATCTCTTTAATGTTCTTTCTCATCGAGTTGACTCGCTTTTTCGTATTTCCACTTGGACATGTACCAAGCGGTGATTGTTCCACTTCACAGCTTTCGGATACACGTGAGATATTCGTGTCGTATCATACGTAACGCTTTTGCGAACGAAGAATTTGCCCGCGGACAACACGCGGACACTCCAAATGCGTGGAAACCGCGCGCGAGATCTCATGATCTCCGCCCACAACTGCGTATATTCGTGCGCGACTAATGCAACTTTGTTGTGTAGATCCGACCGGGAAAGGAGTGTCGCAATCAGCGACGCTAATTACCGCCGGTAGACGCGTTATACTATTCTTTCCCGATTAACGCCGACTCTCAAGGACTTACGAAATGAGTTCTCACACAACTCCTCGTCTACCGTCTCTCTGACTCTTTCTTTATTTTTCGCGATGCGTATATATCACACTAGTCTCTATTACGTAACGCCGTATTTACAGTCAGTAAGTAGTGAGTACGCTAGAGATGTCTTAGAAGCTAAAGCTTTCGTCGATGCTGTTCTGCGTTTTAACCGTGAGATTATTTTTTAATTAATCAGTTTATAGGTATAGAGATGCATCAGCAACGATTTATCGGTTAATATATTTTTGTTTTGTTTCTACGATTAATTAATGTAAACATATAATGTCAACAAACTTATGTTGCAATGTTTACAATATAATTATACCATTGTAAATTACAGCCGGAGGTAGTATCCATTCACCAATTTCGTCATTCCATTGTTCTTTCTTCATTATTAAATAGTATAAATTTGACGCAAATTAGCAGCGAGTGAGAAATAAAATTTTGCGATAAAAATATGCGATAAGCTAAAAGAGAGATAAATATACGAGAAAATGATATATATATATATGAAAAAAAAATACAAACACATCTAAAATATTTCTTAATCGAATATATGCTGATGCATCTATTTTAGTAGATATAAATATGCAACGACAAACGATAAATATGCGCTATCGTGCAGAGAATCGGATTGCGCGGCGACGATTTCCCTTTTGTGAAACCGATCCGACTCATTAACGACGCAAATATGCGTGTTGCATGTGCGATATTGGTCCTTACACGCGGATGGACATATCCGTTCGTTTCCTACAATAAAAAAATAAAAACTCTACCATTAATGTAAGCCGCTTCGTCATGCTTAAATATGTTACCGTGAGAATTCACAATATCTTTCCAGGATATTTAGTAATATCTGGCAAAGAATAAGTAGTATTAAAAGATTGCCGAAAGAAAGCATATTTGCGATTACTCGTTGACCTTGATTATATAAATTTGTTTTATTAAAAAAATTTTAATAAAATTAATTAAAATTCAATAATTTACTTTACATTTTTTTTTTTTGCTTACAACGAGTAATCTTTACGGACGGAATTCCTAACTATTTCTACATTACTCATCGTTGTTACATCTTTTTCCTCGTATCCTTCTCCTCCTCGTCGTCGTCCGTGATGATCTGTACACTCCTGACCGGACCCGTCTTTCTATACCTGGACGCCGGCGTTGTGGTGGTCATCACAGTCGTCGGCATCATCGTCGATCGTTCGGCGTTGATCGCTAGATTTACCATCCTCAACAACAAGGCTTCTCTGATGGCTGCCGGAAGAACCTCATCGCCTTCGTCGGATACGTCCTGCGCGTAGAATTTCTGCCTGTACACTCTCTTGGAGTATCTGCCGTCGTGATAATCGTCGTATTGATGATGATAAGCCGGATGCAAAGCACGAGGGTACAACGGACGTCTGAGAGACACGCGTTCACCATATTGCGCTTGCTGATCGTATGCCAGTTCGGGTCTCGGAAGCGGCGCTTGGTAGCCTGCCGGATATGATGGATACGGCTGCTGATCGTACAGGGCGTCCTCGAGGTAACTCTTTGGATAGGATAGAGCTTGCACGCCGTATTGGCTCACCAGCAGCCTCTTCAGCAAAATCTGGAAGTCTCGTCGACTTAGAGGAGGCGTGATCGGATTGGGCGGTTCCGGCGGCAGCGCCAGCGCGCCGGGTCTGTAAGGATATTCGGGTGTGGTCGCCTGATAATCTCTGTCGTCGGGATGAACCATCGGACTAGGAATCGGTCGCAGAAGCGCGGGTTGTCTTCGTTCAGCTTCCGAATAGATCAGCGGTCGCATCACGGGACGCGGGCGTACATAGTTTGTGTTCATCGCGATTCGCGCCTGGTCCTCTTGGTCGGGAACGGGATTCTCTGTGAGATAGTGAATGTTGGCGTCCGTCGTGGTCGAGTAGACCGGCTGATGATTGGAAGGTGGCCGGAACATGATTCTGCCGATCGGTATCGCTCTGTAGATGCCGTCCTCCTCGAGGTTGCCTTGTTGAGACTGTACGAGTAATCTAGGCGGCAATTCCCGCAGATATTGCTCGGGCTGCTGTCTCACGAAGACAGGCTCCGTGCTCTGTCTGACATATTCCCGGTTCTCGACGGGTACTCGAGCGGTGGAACTGCGTAGCAGGATCTGCGGCGTTGGTGTGCGCTCCTCCAGACTAGATTTCGTCTCCGTCTCGTAGATCCGAGGTTCTTCGTATTTCGGGCTGTCAAATCGACCACCCGCTCCCGCATTCTCCCGATTGACGTAAATCTTTGGTCGATCCGTGCGCGAGGTACTGGAAACTCTCTGGATGGCCCGCGGTGGGGAAGACGTAGTGAACAGAGGTCGCGTCGTAGACAAAGAACCACCGTAAACGTCGGAATGATCGTCGCTATTATCCGCGGTGTCGGAATTTGACTTGGTGGTCTCGTCATGCAGTTGTCTCCTCAGATTGTTCCCCGTTGTAATCTTGGCTTCGTCTTCCTTCTCCACAAAGTCCTCAGATATCGGCGGCAGGTTATGCTCAATCGGTCGCTTGGCGAAAATGATCCTTCTATAGACGCCGCTTTTGTCGTCTGTACTAGGTCGATTGATCTGCGAGTCTTCATCCTCGGTACCCTCCTCTAACACGATCGGTCTCTGTTGACCATTGATGATAAAACGCGGCCTGTTCTTCGACGTGCCTTTCAAGTAATGTCCAAGTATCGTTTTTGGCGCCTCTGTAGTGCTGCTGCTGGCCGTTGTCGTCGTGGTAGAACTGGTGGTTGTCTTCCTCGTTCGAGGAATCGACTGTACAACCGACGACTTGGTCGACCCCTCCGTCGTCGTGGCGTACACGATGCTCGGCTTCTTCGTAGTTAATGTACGATTGACGCGTGGTATGCTCTGCACGACTGACGCGTGTTCCTGCAATGGCGACATGGTGGTTGCTTTAAAGCCTGTCCCGTTCGACGAGGAATACGAGACTCTCTTTATCTCGCCGTCGGCGTCGATGAAGCCGAACGTGCCTTTAACGTTGCCCAGAACGTCGCGACTCTCAACCTGACAAAGTAAGTATTTACCGTTCAGATTTTCACGAAAGTAGCGCGAGTTTAAATATCCACACCTTGGACGAATAAATTAAATTTTTCGTTATTAGCGTAATCGAGATATTTATAAAATCAAGATGAATTAGTTTAACATATAATAAATTGACTGTTATTTTATATTACTAGATGACAATGTAATTAAAGATTGTTTAAGTCATAATCTAGTTTTCAAGGAACATCATACTTCTATGTCTATTTTTTAATACTTTTAGTAATATTATAAATTTTATAGATAAAAATATCTAGATAAACAATATATAACAAGAATCTATATAAATTTATAGGAAGCAATTAAAAATTGTTATACGACTATTTAAGTTGCTATTGACATTGGTATGTAATTATCATCGTCTTCGGCATTGCTTGCACAGCATAACATTGTTATTAAATGTAATTAGAAATGCAAAAAATGATCCCCGCGGATAATTAGTATCTAATACTGTGGGAACTAAACGCGGTACGATATCTTAAGAAAAAGTCGATAGGCGCGGTCGACATTACGACGCGCTTAAGTAATCACGCACATAATTACCTTGAATGATCCATCGCCGGCTTCGTAACCGTATGTATAAGAACCGTCTTCATTCACCTTTCTGATCTGCTTCAAGATCGCCACTTGATGATCGTGTTGTGTTTCCGACGTTTGCTGATCCGTGACGTTCGTACAGCCGGCTGTCGCCAGGCAGAAGAATGCCATCAGCCATGGCGTCATCTTAAAAGCAAAATGTGATCTTTTACTGTAAGAAAAAATGCAAATGTAAATACGATGCGTCATGATAAATTATTACGAGGAAGCGGAGGATACTGAAAATTTTAACAAAGCATCGAATATACGGATTTTTAAATGACAAACAAATTTTTGCGCAATAAAAATTATATATTTTTAATTCATTTCTATTCGTAAAATGCGAAATACTTCCTTAATACGCGTTTATATCCACATAATGATGCACTTGTCACACCACAGCATTTTTTGCTATAATATTCTAATTTCTAATGCATTGCCTAAGGCTCAGAATAAATCTTGACCATGTACGGACGAAAGATCACGTATGCAACCGTACGCCAAAGCGCGCACTTTCCCACGAACACTTTCCCAATATCGATTCCGCGAAAAATCGCCGGAACATTCAGATCGAGCATTTAAATTGATTGCGATTGAAATCGATCTCACGCGCGCGAATTGCGTACACCATAAACGTGTACTCGCGCACTCGCGTCCTTTCGGCATAGTGTACTCGGTAATATACCTTGCTGCAACTGGAAACCATGTTACCGCGGATGCGGTGAATGTTCTTAATACTGCGTGGGGTGTCGGGTACCGTTATATATAGGGTGACACAATAGGCAACCACCGCCGCGCCCCTTCCACGGCGTGTTGCGTCGCGCCGCCACGCTCAACCTTGATGACCCCTAAACGTTCATTATGACGCTGGAATACGAAATGACAACTCCTTCTTGAACGACGGCAGTAAAAACGCGAGACGCATTGCGCGCTTTGACAGAAAATACACATACAATAAAGATGCCGCGGTTGTGTTTACTCATCTCGATTACGCGTTCCTTCTCGTCACGCGAAATTGCTCAAGACAGGATCACTTTAACGACGGGCAACGTTGTTGAATGTGATCGATTGATACGCGAATTGCATTTTGAAAAGCGGCTTCTTTTCTTCTTCGTTGAGCAAATCAATTGTTGATTAGCATTTAAATTTTATATTTCACGCGAATTTGTCACGCGGTTCTAATTCTATTAACATAAACGTATCATTTCTCCCATTAAAAATATACGCAAGATGTCAGTTTTACATCCACATAAACTGACAATGTTACGAAGTTTATTGCTCTACAAATAAATTACATTTTTCTTGCGACTAAGACTCGAGTTTGTCATAGACTCTTTTAGAAGCCTGAAAAGTCGCACGCCTCGTAAGAGCGGCGAAGAAAGGGCACCGAT